TTTCACTTGGGCCTTTTTGGACCTAAGAACATTGGGCCTTTTGCCACCTTTCTTGTACTTCATTTGCAGCCAACATGTGTCTTTAATTTAGGCACACATTTAAGTAGGTGATGCACCTACTTTTCCATTCAAATTATTTCTTGTGGGCTTGGAAAGATTGGGCCTTGGCTGTCCATTTTCCCCTTATTCTTCTAATCAACTTGGGCCAGATTGATACAAGTATGTGGTAGTGCACTTGGCCCAATAACATGATCGAAAGAGTCTTAGTAGGTGATGCACCTACTTGGTCCCTTGGGCTAGTCAATAAGTCAAAGTAAGTGATGCACCTACTAGTTTAGTGTAGTCAATCAAGCACCTCAATATCTTATTCCATTTATCGACCTTAATACCTTTAATTTAACTTAAAACTTATATACACTATGTCAATTTAAACTTTAGACTCAAATACCACCTTATGATCTCAAGTTTAAATACTTCCATTGACGTCAACTTAATCGGGTCGCATCAAAATCTATGGGCAGTTCACTTTAAACCTATTCTATTGTCACTAGTTGCATAGCAAATCGAGTCCAAAACTATACCACACGGAAATTTATAAGCATCATATAAATAGAACTAGTTCACGTAGAATATGGGGTGTTACATTCTCTATCCCTTAAAGAAAGACTAATTATGTATATCATGTTCTATCTTGTCTTTTTCAAATCTCACTTGTCGGATTACATTAGGTATGTTATTGTTATTGATTTTCAAAAGTAATTATCTCAAATTATTCAACATTTTAGAAGTTCAAGATAAAATTAATTAATTTTTTTCTTATTTTACTCTTAATAGTATTTTATTTTTTTTAAAAGATAATCACATAAAACTTATTATGGGGTTTTATTCAATGAATAGAAAGACTATATCACAAGATATAAATAAAAGTAAAATAATCAAAATTTCTTATAGTTATTATCTTTTTTAAAAGTGCGTAAAAAATACAATAAATAATTTAAGACGGAGAAGTATTAACTTACAAGTTGATCCTAACAAACACTTGAGTTTGACAGATAGCCATCCTTTTCTAAAATAGCTACAAAAGAAATGGTACAAGTTGAAATGAGCTCATAGTATATACTATTGAATTTCCAAGTCAAATTATCCAATTTAATTAATGATGAATTCAATAATTAGAAAAGTCAACTAAGTTCACACAAATTTACATTTATTTTTCTAAAGTCGTTTGGAGAATTCATGGATCATCAAAATAAGTGGCTAAATTTTAAAGTCCAATTAATTACAATATTCAAAGCTTAACCACTTGATGCTTCCTTCTTTCAATTGACGGACTTGTTGCACTCATGTCCACAAATTTTCAAAGTATTATCGAAATTAACAGTTGTTGAAAAATATGTCACGCCCCGAGTCTACATCCTGGGCGGGACTGACACTCGAAGACCATCGCTGGTCCCAAGCGAACCCTTGGCCTGGCTTTATGAACTCAGCGGAAGAATTTCTCAACATAATAAGTTTAAACAATAACTTAAGGAAATAACATCGTAGCCAAAATGGCAACTTAGTCTTTAAACAACATCTGAATGAATAATGTAAAGACTACTGAACTACTATCTATCTAATTGTCCATGAAGCCTCTAAAATATTGAGATGGATGTTGGGAAAAACCCCACAACATCCTAATAAATGAAAGACTGAAAGTGAATAAAAAGAGTCATCTGGAACACAAGGAGGCTCACCACTGACTCTGAGCTGCTCAACTGGATCAACGAGGCACTGGATGCTGATCCTGGTTACCTGAATCTGCATCATAATACGATGCAGGCCAACTGGCATCAGTACATTGAATGTACGAGTATGCGAGTTGAAATGCTAAGCAGCATAAACTAGAAGGAAATCTGAAAGAAACTGAATAACTTACTTGGCTCAACTCAACTCAACTTGACTGACTCATTTCAATATAAAGCAATTTTAAACAAGTGCAATATAAAGAAAAGTTGTTTAAAAACATGCTATAAACTATGTATGTATGCAAAGATACTATAAATCTGAGATGTATGTAGAAATACAAATGAACTGATGTATATAAAAATACAATAACTGTTGTGAGAGTTTCTCTAACCGACAACCATTATATAAGAGCTATAGTGATGATACAGCGATCAACCTCACGCTGCCAGAGCATCCTATACCTGGCCAAAAGTATAGGACCTGAACTGCCCAATGGATCCACTAGTCTAATTTGAAAATGATTCATCTAAAAAGTATGAACTTCGTCTACCCATGGTGGAGACATGGTTCTGTGGGGGCTGTGGGTTCTTTGAACGCTCCCTCTATTCGATGCTCGATACTACTCCCAAAAATGTACTGGCTCTTAAGTTTTTAAAACATATTTCTTTTTGCTGATTTGAGACTAGTGCTCAAAACTTAGCTCAAAGGCTATCTTGGAATTCTCAGTTTTCCCTTCTTGCTTTATTTAGAAAGCCATTATTCTTTTTTGAAAACTAGCCCAAAGGCATCTTTGGAAATCTCAGTTTCCGATCTCGTTTAAATGAGAAAACATTTCTTTAAAACTTCTTTGGGCATACATAGTCCACATAGATCTCTTTGAAGAAAGAACTTCAAACCATAATTTACTCTTTGCTTAACTTCAAAACTTAGGTCTTAAAACGACGATAAAACATTGTTAAAAACCCTTGGAAGCTTTAAGAAACTTTGCTTTGACTTGCTTCTTAACTTATAGACTTAACTCTTAACTTTTTTGACTTTGAACTTAACTTTCCTTAAATTGAATTATGGATTCAAGGTTCATGATCTCATGTTTATGGATGATTTCATGGTGTTTAGATGTACTTTAGAGTGTTGAAATTGACTAGGAAACATAGGTACATCACTTAGGAACAAGTATGAGAAGGTGAGGAACGAATGGGGAGAACTGGCGTCCCTGGCGTTCTGAAAGGCGTGGGGTGCCAGCCCTCAAACATCAGAGGGCTACCTGTGGCGCTTTGGCTGGCGCAACACGCCAGAGGCCAAAGTTCAAAGGAACTTTTGTGGCACTCTGGCAGGCGCAGCGCCCCAAGCCCTTGCCCAGAAAATCTCCGACTTTTCTCCTTCGTTTTTAATCTCTAAACCCTCTAAACTTCAGTGGTCCTTTCCCCAAACACTTAGGATCATTTATACCCTCAATACATGATAGATTTAACTCGAAAGACAACCCGGAAACACGAATCAAATCAACACTAGGCATTCAACAATCAACCCACAAGAATTCAACAATGTTCTTCAAGAACTTCACTTTCTTAACATTCAAACAACACCAATTTCGCTGAATTGAAACAAGTTAGTGTGTGCGTGAACTAACCCAACATGAAAGAATTCTCACATACCTTAATAGGGATCACCCCCGACGAATTCCACTCGCAAAGCTTGAACGTTCTTGGCGATTTCTTGATTTCTCTCCTCTTTTCTCTTCTATCTTCTCCTCTCCAAGCCCTAGCGTAAAATCTAATTTTTTTTAAAACTGAATAAAGTCTTGTTTTACCCCAATTAATTCCTAAAAACGAAATAGGCAAATTAGGTAAGAAAAAGACTAGTTTAACCCTCACAAATCCGGATTTGGACTTTCCTTAATCCAATAGCCCAACTTCCAAAGGGCATAACTTACTCATACGAACTCGGAATCGTGCAAACTTGGCGGCGTTGGAAATATTATTCCAAGAGGTTTCCAAAAATATCCAGATCTTCTCCTAAATCATCTTGAGCTAGGAGTTATGGCCGTTTGAAAAAGGCCAAAACTCACTTCTTAACTTAGACAAAAATTTCCAGATTTTCTTATCCTTTCCAAAAATCAATATTTTCATATTTTAAACTCTTTATAGTCATTTCTAGGTGTGAGATGTTACAAAATATTTAAAAAATTTGAAGTTTGAAGCACTATCAAAATTAATAGTTATTGGAAAATATTTAAATATCACGGAAATTCTCTAAGCTTGAAGTATTATCAAAATTAATATTTATTGAAAATATTGAAAAATCATGGAAATTCTTGAAGCTTAAAGAATTATCGAAATTAATAGTTGTTGGAAAACCACAGAAATTTTCGAAGCTATTGAGGCATGCCTATTGACGTTGTTCTTCAGAATATTTCACCGGATTTAAGTGTATCGCTCGAATTCAACAAGCTCTTCTAATATAAAATTAAATTAGAAACTCTAAAAATTACAATTTTTTTTAAAAGTGGATATCCCAACAAAAAAAAATGGAGAATCAGATTTTTTTTAATGTTCTTTACTGTAAAAGAAAAACGTTATTCTCAGGATATATATATATGGAAAAATATCATACAATAAAGTAGTCAAAACCTTCAACAGCTAAAGGACTATTATAGCAAATTAAGAAAAATCATTGATAATGAATAAGAATATATTTTTTCCAACAATAGTTAGATTATATTCTATTGAATTTTATTTTTCAATACTCACTCCCTTCGTCATTATTTGTTTATTATAATATTTTTGAAGGTCCAACAATATTTGTTCAGATTATAAAATCATTATAATATAATTTATCATTTATATCTATTTTACCTTTGTTATTAAATACTATTCATTTTATATTTAGATAATTTATATTTAATAGGGGTGATTTGCTAAAATTACCTCTATCATACTATTTTTTAATCACTGTCTCAAGTCAATACTGGACAACTATTGTTGAACAAAGGGAGTAATAAGACAAAAAAGTATTACTACAAGATTCAATTCTTTTCATATTCATATGATGATAATAAATGTCTATCATAGTTTATGTAGATTAATTTTTTTTAAAAAATATTTGACAAATAATTTGAGATGTATGATAATAAATGTCTATCATAGTTTATGTAGATTAAATTTCAAAAAAAAAATGTGACAAATAAAATGTCTATCATAGACTTCTTACTGAAATAATAGAGCATTAAGATCTCAAAAATAAGAAGGGAATCAAAATGTTGAAGATGGATATATGTGAACAATTAAATTTCATGGACCATTTTGTCCATTTTTTTTCTATTTTCTGAAAAGAATAAATTATGTACACAAATATTATCCACTACTAAGCAATTTTTGATCATTTCTACCTAATTCCTAAAATGGATATGAAGATAGTAAATTATTAGGTATACAAGGAGAATTACTCCATGCCTTAGCATGAAATTTGAGAATTTCTCTAGCTCTTTCCTTAGCTTTGCTTCCACAATCAACTTGAAGCACCAAACAAAGCTTTGATACCACACCCAAACTCAACATCTCTTGAACAACACTTGGTGTTGATGAAAACTTTGAGATTGAATGTAAGATCTTAATTGCCCTTTCACTCCCTACTTTTGAAACCCTAAGTATTTTCTTGGACACAATGGCTAATCCTCCTGGATGATTCAATAGCTCGGCTCTCCCTTCTGCGCTCTGACAAAGTTGATCCAACAAAATTAACATCAATTCACAAGCCCTTTTTTCAGATGAATCGAGCAGAAGATCAACCAAAACCCTAATTGTTCCTTCTTCTGCTGCTTTCACTCTGTTCCTACCAAATGGACACGCGTGCACTAGCACTTGCAATGATGCGTTTGTAGCCTTTTGAGAGATCTCATCCCTCAAGACTTGAACAACTTGTGTGAAGAATTCTTGCTTCAAACTCAAAACTAGAGTTGGTGTGGATATTTCGAACATGTCTTTCATTAGCATAACCGCGTAAGCCCTAGACTCATAGCTCCCATGTTGCATGACACGTGTCAAAGATTGAATGAATTCTCCATTTCCACTCATGATGAGTGACTTCAATCCTTGTTCGGATAATTTGAGTTGATAGAGGATGCTAAGCGCTTCGTCTTTAGTACTCATGAAACCCTCTTTTTCTTCTTCAAACACTTCATTCGAATTATTATTATTAATTATAGAAGCTAAAAACTCCATTGCCCCCGCAGATTCCATGCAATGTTTGTTAGCATCATTCTCAGAAGCTATGGATCTGAGTCTCTTGAGAGATTTCATTTGCAATTTAGGCGATTTCGCTTCTTTTAGGAGCTTTATGATTTGTGGTTTGCTTACCGGAGGCTTTGGTGTAGGGAACCTTTCAATACCATGAGACGCATTGATAGTACACCACGATTGGATTAATCGTCGCAGAGTAACATTTGGGGTCAACTCTATGCATGTAAGAGACTGTTTCGTAGCCGGACAAGTGTTCTTCTTTTCAGAGAATATCCATTTTTCAATGTTTTCTCGATCATATGTTATTCCTGTAGAGATCGTGATAGGATCTTTCATCATCTCAAGTGAAATGGGGCAAATAAAATAAGAAGGTACTTGAATTTCTTCCATTTGTATATTTTGGAAAATTTCAAGATTAATCTAAGAAGGAGATCAATCTTATAAGAAAGTTTCAAATTGACCAAAAAAAAAAGAGGAAACTTTGATTTGTTGAAACTTTAGATGAGTAGTGAATTGGTTTGAAAAAATGGAGGATTTGGTTGTGCTTATATATATGATTTGGAGATTGAGCTTTTCAAAGTCAACACGCAAATAGAAGAATAAGACTTTTCAAAGGGTATTTATTAATTATACTATTTAAATACTTCCATTACTTTTTACTTGTTCAGTTTAGACTATATCTATCCTTGATAAAAACAATATGTTAATTTATATCTGGTTTTAAGTTTTGAAAAGTAAGTATTTCATGTTAAGCATAGAGTATGATATGCTAACAAGTAAAATATAATGTTTAATAATAAGTAAAACAAAATAACGAAAGGAGTATTTAAAAGGAATATTTATTTAGCGCTTTAATAAATACTCTCTCCGTTTTATATTATTTGATCCTAGTTGAACTAACACCCGCCTTGAAAAATTTTTAATCAAAGTTGTAGCCATATAAACTAACTTGATTAATTATTTTTTGAAATTCTAAATTTATCAGTTTCTATTTTATGTAATAAATTTTATTAATTGTTAGATAGATATAAAATATCAATTTTTGATATACAGATCAAGTAAAATAAAACGAAGGAAACATTACTAGCTCAAAAGGGGTAGTCTTTTATGTGTATTTTCGGTGGCCTAAATGTGTGTACGTAAGAAGAAGAAAAAAACAGCTCACTTTTGACTTTCTCTCTCTAAAAGTAATAAAAACACATGAATGTATCCTTTTTATTTATAATAACTCGTGTTTTATTTATTAGTGAGAGAAAGAAACAGTTGGCAACAACTAGATTACTAGGTTTCAATTTATGTGATTTTTTAAAAATAAATAATTAGCTCAAATCAATTTAAGAGTTATAGCTATATCTAACAATCACCTTGTATTTTTTTAATTGATTCAACCTTTTAATTTATCTAGTTTAATATTGCTTGCAATATTCCATCGCATATTTCCTTGCCTATTCAAGTTAATCTAAGCCAATGTATAAATAGAATAAGGCCAATTAACACAAATTACACTAGTTTAAAAGTAAATTATTTTTTTTTATATAAGATTTTAATATTACGAATCTTATCAGAATTTGAACTTCGAACATGTATCTTTCGCGTCTAGATACATGTATCCCAGATATATTAGGTCAAATTAGGAGTAATTTGTTGCAGATACATTGTATTCAAGTGGATTCACATATATCGTCTAACTCTCTCACATCTCTCCTATCTCGCTCCTTCTCTCCTATCTCACTTGCTTCTCTCCCTTTCTCGCTATCCTCTCTCCCTATGTATTTGGATTTTAATATGTATCTGGATATCCTAGATACATGTATCTATTGTGATTCACATATATCTAGGATACATATATTGTTTAGCTCGCCTCCCTCCTATCTCGCTCTCACCTCTCTCCCTATTTTAGTGTATCTGTATCTGGTAGCAATTAAAAATACATGTATCTAAGTGAATTTGACTTGAAATCTGATATGACATTATTAAGTAGTGAGACAATATACAATTATTTCAAATTGTAAGAAGACTTGGTAAATTTAATTGAAATATTTGTATAATTAGATCGTTTTGCAATAGAATAAACATTAACAGTGCAAGAACACAATCAATTTATGTATAATAATCAAGATATTCCCTTCTAACTTGACCTCAGGTGATATTTTATGCCTTTCAATTTTAGGTGTGCACAAATAGACACTTGAACTTATATAAAGTTGAATAAGTAGACAACTCATTTTAGTGACAATTCGTGTAAGATATATTCAAACTTATTTATATTATGTCACGTATGATGTGTCTGTCTACCTGTTTAACTTTATATAAATTTTAGTGTCTATCTACCGAAATTAGCATGTCTATCCCAATCGTAAATTCTCTCTCCGGGTTAAAAAAAAAAACAATCTATTAGAGATTACTTATAAGATGACACATTCTTTTATATTATTCTTTGAAATTTATGAAAAATTCAAAATCATCATATTATTGGCTTAGATTTGAAGTCCAACAATCTTCAAAGTTCATTTAATTATTACTACTTATTTCTTTCATTGGGACTAGTTGCACTCATATCACAATCACAAAATTTTAACTTCTAGTAAAGTTCAAATAATTAATAAGAGCTGATTATTTTGAATGTTATTGTAAATTTTTAGATGATGAAAAGTCTAATACCTGGTTCTCACCAAATTAAAGAGTTTTCTCTAAAATAATGATTTCAAATTTAATCCTGTGTGCAAAGACACATAATGCTAGTATGTATATAGTATTCGTAAAATGTATATAGTATTCGTAATATTTACTATGAATGGGAGTTACGTTCTGGAATAATGCTAAAATTATCTATATGTAATTTATAGTTTACGGGTTGGATTATGAATTTATTACTAATGATTATATTTGTATTAGGATAGACTGTCTTCATTACCCCCATTAACCTGATATCCTTCATTGGACCTTACGCGAATTTGGGATGCAATGGACTTCTTACTGAAATAATAGAGCATTAAGATCTCAAAAATTTCCACTCTATACTTGCTATTGGAGATGCAAAATAAGAAGGGAATGAAAATGTTGAGGATGGATATATATATGAACAATTAAATTTCATGGACCATTTTGTCCATTTTTTTTCTATTTTCTGAAAAGAATAAATTATGTACACAAAAACAATCCACTACTAAGCAATTTTTGCTCATTTCTACCTAATTCCTAAAATGGATATGAAGATAGTAAATTATTAGGTATACAAGGAGAATTACTCCATGCCTTAGCATGAAATTTGAGAATTTCTCTAGCTCTTTCCTTAGATTTACTTCCACAATCAACTTGAAGCACCAAACAAAGCTTTGCCACCACACCCAAACTCAACATCTCTTGAACAACACTTGGTGTTGATGAAAATTTTGAGATTGAATGCAAGATCTTGATTGCCCTTTCACTCCCCACTTTAGAAACCCTAAGTATTTTCTTGGACACAATGGCTAATCCTCCGGGATGATTCAATAGCTCGGCTCTCCCTTCTGCGCTCTGACAAAGTTGATCCAACAAAATTAACATCAATTCACAAACCCTTTTTTCAGATGAATCGAGCAGAAGATCAACCAAAACCCTAATTGTTCCTTCTTCTGCTGCTTTCACTCTGTTCCTACCAAATGGACACGCGTGCACTAGCACTTGCAATGATGCTTTTGTAGCCTTTTGAGAGATCTCATCCCTCAAGACTTGAACAACTTGTGTGAAGAATTCTTGCTTCAAACTCAAAACTAGAGTTGGTGTGGATATTTCGAACATGTCTTTCATTAGCATAACCGCGTAAGCCCTAGACTCATAGCTCCCATGTTGCATGACACGTGTCAAAGATTGAATGAATTCTCCATTTCCACTCATGATGAGTGACTTCAATCCTTGTTCGGATAATTTGAGTTGATAGAGGATGCTAAGCGCTTCGTGTTTAGTACTCATGAAACCCTCTTCTTCTTCTTCAAACACTTCATTCGAATTATTATTATTAATAATAGAAGCTAAAAACTCCATTGCCCCCGCAGATTCCATGCAACGCTTGTTAGCATCATTCTCAGAAGCAATGGATCGGAGGGTCTTGAGTGATTTCATTTGCATCTTAGGCGATTTCGCTTCTTTTAGGAGCTTTATTATCTGTGGTTTGCTAACCGGAGGCTTTGGTGTAGGGAACCTTTCAATACCATGAGACGCGTTGATAGTACACCACGATTGGATAAATCTCCGAAGAGTGACATTTGGGGTCAACTCTATGCCCGTAATAAGAGATTGTTTTGTAACTGGACATGTGTTGTTCTTGGCAGAGAATATCCATTTTTCGATGTTTTCGCGATCATATGTTATTCCCGTGGAGATCGTGACGGGGTCTTTCATCATCTCTAGTGAAATTGGACAAATAAAATAAGGAGGTATTTGAATTTCTTCCATTTATATTTTTTTGGGAAGTTACAAATATAAAGATTTGTTGAGACTTAAAAGAGAGAAAAGATGAGTAGTGAATTGGTTTGGAAAATTAGAGGATTTGGTTGTGGTATATATACTATATAGTTGGAGAATAGTAAGAAATATTCAAAAGTCAAAACATGGCAAAATATGAAATATATTATTTAAAAGATGGAATAAAACGTTATATTAACTTTACCAAGTCTATTAATATGTGTATTTTTTGCGGCCCAATTGTGTGTACATATGGAAAAAAACAGTACACTTTTGACTTTTTCCTCTCTAAAAGTATTTAAATCACATGTTCAATTTTCTTCTCTATCTAACTCGTGTTTTAATTTTATTTAAAAGAAAAAGAAAAGAGGATAGATACTTCCTAACAAGACGTAGACTTTGGGGTGAGTGGGGGGGGGGGTGGGGTGATTTTCTTAATATTTCTCTTTTTTGGTTGTTCAAGTTGCTTTTGACTCAACCAATTGTTTTGTTTGGCTTTTTTAAGTACATTGAACTTGAATGAATGTTTTTCGAGTTTGAGTTATATATATTATTAGTGTAATTAATGAAGATTTTACATTCAGATCATTTAAATATTATTAATGAATTAATCTAAATAATAGTTAATCCAATTTTTATTTTATTTTTCCTTTTTGGAAATTGCTTCATCAAAGTTTATATTATCACCTTGATGTTTATAGGACCGGGCTCGACCCTTGTCTTACTCACTCACCTGATGCAAAACACCGTTGAAAGAGAGGGACATAAAAAAAAGATCATGGAAGGCTACCTATACAATTACAACCTTCCATATACATGGTTAATGTATAATATATATATATATATATATATATATATATATATATATATATATATGTAAAGATTTGGAGGTTTAACTCAGCACCATAAATTAACTTATTAGGGAAAGATTAATTGTTCAAGTTCATATAATCAGATCAGTATTTATTCTTTTTTCATAGAATACGAGACTCTTTAGCACCCTACCTAACACTTAGAATATTATATTTAATTTGGTGCATGAGCAATTTAATATAGGGCTCAATGGCGATAAATAATAGTAAGTAAGATGGATTCAAATTCCATGATTAATTGTATCTAGGGATTCTAATATCTATATAACCAGTACTCCCTTTATTCCTAATTACTTGTCCACTTTTGAATTGAAACACTTTATGAAAGCAATTATTGACATAGTAAATTTACCATTTTACCCCTATTAATTATGAAGTGGATGAATTAAAAATTTAAGATTTTCATGAAATTCTACCTTTTTCAAAGTAATTAATTGAGGATATAATAGGTAAATTTATTTTGTCATTTCTTGATTTGTCAAAATGGACAAGTAATCAGGAACAACTATAAAAGGAAAAATGGACAAGTAATTAGGGACAGAGGGAGTATAATTTATGTATATCGATTAGAAATGGTAAAAGTAAACGGTAAATTCAATTGTTTTAGTCAGACCTACTTCTAATGATAGTGAAATTTAAAACTATTTGCATGTGGGAATATAGTTGAACAATTAATATTATGATCTAAGTGGCTTGACTTTTTGTCACCGTTATTTACAAATTGGTTGGTCTTCCAAATTAAGTTGAACTAAATTTTCAAATAGATTGAATCTTCCCTATTCTTGGAATATAGGTACAATATGAGGATATAGTTGGTTTTATCTTTTTTTTTAAAAAAAACTAGTTGTTTATTCGTCAATTTGACAATCGTCAATTTGAATTTGCTCGATCGATTCAAATGCAATCACATTTTCTAGGCAAATGAGACCTTATAATTCAATCGCATTTTTCGGTTTAATTCTTTTTCTGTAATCTTGATTTACCTATAGGTCAATCTAATTGGTTCTTTATACTTAATTTTGGTAGGATTGATTGGTGAGCGAGAAATGAATCTGGTCATTCTAGTAATAAGAGTCATTTGAATATTATTGAATGGTTTAGTCAACTGGTTTATTCACGCGTCTTCTATTGATTAATGAACTGGGAATCATATATACTATTGGAGCATCCCTGAAATATGAAACTCCAAATAATTTCGTTTTGCACAACATAAGATCCATTAAAGGAAAAATACTCGTGTATCAGACATTTTCTCTATACCAAGGGCTAGAATATGAGATATTTGATTAAGAGGGAAAGAATTCTATACATTCTATCACAATCTTTGACTGTAATTGTTGGCATCATTTAGTTGGCTATTCTATTTAATTCTCTTTTTTGGATTTTTTTGAATTTTCCTTTGAAGTAACTTAAGTATTATTTGCCTTATGGTTATTACCATTTGTGAAGTGATTAATTTTTATGAAATTGTACTTGCAAAAAAAAATAAAAAAATCCTAGAGATTTGTCAAGAATATGATTGTTGTCTAGGAGAGTTTTCTTGGACCATGAAGTCTTTCTTGGATCATGTGTTGCCTTTCAAATCATAAAATTTTAAATATATCTGCATTAATTACTATGAAATGAATTTAAATCAAGTAAAAATAATTTAACTTTAATTTTTTTTAATTATTTGCCTAAAATAACAATTATCAGTCTAATATTCAGACATTACCTATAGTTGGCTTAATCTAGGGGAGAGAAAAAATTTAGGTTTGAATTCACTACGAGATTCCTCGAAAAAGGCTAAGATTAGTATGAGAAAGATATAAAATGTCTCAAAGCAAGCACACACATAAGTCATATGAAACCTGGAAGTATATCACCAATTTAAGAGGAACAAAAAGAAAGATAAGTTGAGTTTGAGATTTATTGGACTTAATCAGATCATCGATATATAGGGTTGGGACGATACTACATCGATTTTAAAAAAATATGTCCAAACACATCATAATATATATGAAGAGAAATCGATAGCTAATTCAATGCATAAAACTATATGTTATAAAAATAAAGTCTTAGTGAAGGTGGAAAGTATACTTTTTGTATATGTTTTTTTTTCTTTTTTATTTTAACTCTATGTTCAATCAATCACCATTATATAAAATAAATATGACGGATTAATAAATCAGACATTAAAAAAGAAAAAAAAACAAGCATTCAAAACAAAACTAAGTGAAAGGGAGTTTAAAAAATACATCCCAAATGTGAAAATCACCAAAAATGCAACATTTATAAACTCTTATGTATATTGAAGTGTTTGTTTCACCAATATATTACAAATTCAGTAAGTATTATACATTATTATTCAGAAAAATATTTTCACCTTTTCTGTACACATGCACTATATTATACATCCAATGTGAAAATTGCATCAAAATAAAGTGATATATGAACCTTATGATTTTTTATTTCAAGGCCTGAAAATATTTCCAAAATTGGACAAGTTGAAAAGGCTCCCATCATTTGCAATATTCGCGCTATGATCATGACTCAGATCTTCTATTGCTAATTTTGGTTCTGGTTCTGGTTCTGGCTCTGACTCTGGTCCTCCGGCTGATAAATTATGACTTGTACTTAGAATATCATTAGGAAATACCATATCATGATGACCATGAGAATTATTAGACCACATCATATCTTCACAAGGCAATGGAGGTAGCTCCATATAATTGTTACCTAATTGATCATGGTTGATAATATTATTGGCATTAACATTATTCATATTTGTATAGTGATCATCATGAACATCACTATGATTCATAATATTTTGCTTTTCATCATGAATCGAACTAAAATAAACACCATCACCAATTAATCGCGATTCTTGACCTAAGTTGCTAGTCATGAACTCCATGTCTATCATGGTTGAAAACTCAAATGATGGAGCGACAAGTACTCCTTCTTGATTAGGCAATAATAAATCATCAGATAGGTCAAGATTCTGATGGTTCTCCGATTCTGATGGCTTGGAATTATCACTATTCAAGAAATTTGAATAGACTAAAGCAAGATCAATAGTTGGACCATGATGGTCCAATGAATTAGTACTATTGGATTGATTATGATCAATATTAGTATGATTTAAACAAACCCCATGTCCCAAATTTCTTGAAATAAGACCATGTTGATGAATTGTACTAGAAGAAGACTTACCTCTTCTACTTTTTCTGCATCCACCACCAATTGGAACATTCCTTAAAGAACCACCTTTAGTCCAATACCTTCTACAACCTTTGCAAAAATACCTAGGTTGTGTCAAACTATAGTTGTTGTAGTAACAAAATTTTGTGTTTGTTGAACCACAACGTGGACATGTTGGTACTAACTCAACATTTGATTTCCATATCCCTCTTTCCATCTAATATTAACACAAAGATTGTTGTTGTTGTGCTTCTTGATCAAGAACTTGTTCCTTTTGAATAATAGCATACATCTCCCTTTGAAGCTACCACCAAATGAAGTTAAAAATCTTGACCATATGACTATATTCTCTTGATATATATATATATATATATATATATATACTCTCCTTTTCAATTTACGTGACATAGTTCGACTCAGCTCAAAGTTCAAGAAAGAAATGAGAACTATTGAAACTTCTGATCTTAAACATATCTTGATAATTCAAAATAGTGTGGTTATAAGATTTTTAAAACTTATTGTATTAAATATGTCAAAACATTAGCATAATCGATCATAGAAGTTTTTCATTAAGGGTAAAATAACAAATCTTAACATATGTAGAGTCAGAATTTAAATTTTAAAGCTATGTTTGGTGCTTGAAAATTACTTGGGAGTTGCTTGGAGATTACATCATTTAGATTTTGCTTCTAGTTTTGAACAAATTATTGTATTATATTTCAAATAAATTATATTATTGCTAAGCATTGGAGAGAGGGATATTGTGCATGATCCAAGAAGCCCATGATCCAAGACAAAAGTACCCAATTTGAGGTTTGATTTTTTAATTTATTTAGGTGTAGTGACATTCCTAATTTCTCATCACACGAGTGCACAAATGTACAATTACACTTTATCTTATAAAAGTCCTATACTTACTTCTCAATCTTCACTATTATAATTAGTTTATTACCTTAGGTTGTTCGTGTTCTTTAAAAATGTAGATAGATGTGTATTAAAAATAGTATATTTTAGAGAATTCAACTAAGGTCAGCAATAATTTTGGAGAATTTAAGCAATATAGTTTATCACTTTTCTTTGTTCATATCAATAGTAATATATAATGTTATTCTCGTAATTTTTTGTCCTACAATTTTGATTATTATATGTTATTTTTTTATATTTTGATTATCTCATTATTTGGCTATTGTTAATATTAATCCTTGTTTCAAAATATGTTATGTAGTGTTTTTCCTATTACTTGCTATGTTTATAACTCCTATTATTGTCCTATGTGTTATTTGAGCTGAGGTTTTCTTCCGAAAACAGTCTATCTACCTTAACGAAGTAAAGGTAAGATCGATGTATATTCTAACCTTCACATATTTCACTTATAAAATTACATTAGATATATCATTATTTGTAGTTTACTACACTATATTATTCATTTTCTGTCCTTTTTACCACTTTACTGTCAGAGTATATTGCAAGGGTAGGTGTGTGGGGGGAGGGGCAATGGGCTCAAATAAAATAACTCCATTTTCTATACTAATATTTCAAATTTTTCTTATTTGAGAATCGTTTGTCCAAAGTATAAAATTAAATGAACATTAATCAATCTAAGCTTAGAAATTCTATTATATTATCTAAAGAAGCAAAATTAGTGTTAATTAATAGATGTGCACTAGATCACATTTCTTTTTTAATACCCTGAATATTTATAAATTAACTAAGACGAAATTAAGATTTAAAGTTTATGATTTTAAATTTGTCATCAAAAATATATATAGCTCAATTTAGTTATTAATTTACAATTACATATACTTATACAAATACAAAATGTATGCAAAAACTATATACTAAATTCGTCTAAACTCGTATCTAATATTGTAGCTCCTCATCGACAGTACACACCCATATAAATATAATTTCCAAAGTCATTAAAAAAGAAGAAGATAAGTTTGGGTTAGGGGGATAATCACAATTAGATGTTCACTAACTATCCAACATGTACTTGCGCATTGATGGCAACAATTACATGAGAATATCAAATTGATGAAACATTTTATCAACATGCAGCTAGCAGTTAAATTCCCAAGATATATATCTGAAAATAATATATATATATATATATATATTATTCAGTACATAAAATATTTTGTATTAGAAGAATTTAGAAAAAGACCTCACTCCAAGAGACCATGTGATATAAACAACTTATTCTAATACAAGCATTAGTGATTGTTTTGACGGTTCAAACTCATAATATATAGATTACACAGAAATAATTTTATCTTTACTCCAAAATTCTTTGATCAAGAGCTTAAAGAAAAAAAAATCTAGCTGCAAACTTATGAGACAAAACTTGTTGCAATAATTTGATCTTTGAGATTAGTTATCTTGAAGCTTGATATGCCTAAACATTTGGGAATTACTGTCCCGTCCATTTTTACTTGTTCAGTTTGAAAATTTTAAAAACTTATTATTATTTTATATTTATTTTATTTTTATTATCAAGTATTTCTCATTTTACAATTTAGTTTTCAACATTTAAATAACTTAAAATAATTAGGAATAATATAATTTTTTAATTTTTTTTAAAAAAATGTGTCAAATCAAGTGTGGATGAAGAGAGTAAATAATTTTAGTTTGGTTTGCATATTGGACCAACTATTTTAAAGTTTAGCCATAGACTTCTTTTTTTTATCTGTGTTCGATAGCTATTTTGAGTTTGATTAATTTAGATTTATTCGTAAAAGTATCATTCTAGGAGATAAAACGTTCTCTATAAAAAATAATTGTGTTTTTAATACTCAAAGTCAAAATTTCTGATTAAAAATAAAGATGATGGTGTTAATTACTTGAATTATTATTGCCTAATAATCATGATAGGGGTATTGTAGATACCACTCCGATACACTTAATCAAAAGTCTCAGATTGATCTCAAAAATGAAAAAAAACATATATATGCTGGTATAAAGTTTACCCTTTAATATGTCATATACAACACACATCTGAACTAGTTAGAACCTCAAATCAGATACTAAAGACTTAGATGAGAAATCGAACAATAAAAAATATGAATAAAAAGTTATTTGAATTTCATTTTTTTAAAACTCCGTTCTAATCAATATTCACATAAATTAAGACGGTGAGATAGTTATTATTATTTATAAACACTTAAATTATTTTTATTTTATTTTTTTTAGAACCCAAGCTTTGTGTCCCTAAAAGCTACTTGAAGTTTTCGAGGACTTTGCTCCCTTTTCAACCAATCATGTTTCTCCACGTGTCACAAACACCCGACACCTCTTCTTCGCCGCCGGGAATGTTAAAGTCTTGTAATTCCGTCAACCTTAACAGCCCTTCTCCATGTGCTCTTTTGACACAATTCTCCATAAAAATAAAAATAAAAAATAAAAAAATACCAAGAATAATTACTCGCGGTTTTCATTTATGTGACACTATTTTCTTATTTGTCAATCTAGAAAAACATTATATTTGAAAACGCAAATTATTAGCTTTAGACTCTCAAAGGTAAAACAAGATGATTACGTACTAGATCTGCTAAACTCAGTACATAACTCTAGTTTAAATTCTATATTTGTATTAAAAGTTTATCAAATACGTAAAAAATAATAATTGAAATTCAGAATCTAATTACTAACTAACATGTTATCCAAGAAAGTAGAATAATAAAATTCAAATGATGGCTCTACCTATGTTTAGACTTCTCATATTACCCTTGATCATGACAAGCTTTTATAGTTGTTTCAATGTTTATGACATGTTTGATACTATAAATTTTAAAAGTCTTATAATCACATAATTATATATTACGATACATTTAAGATCAAAATTTTCAAATATTCTCATTGTTTTCTTGAATTGTTTTTGGGCCGCGTGAGCTAATTAAACCATATCATGTAAATTGAAAAGGAGAGAGTAGATATATATATTTCAAGAAAATATAGTCATAACTCATATGGTCAAGATTTTTTAACTTCAAGGGAGATGTATGCTATTATTCAAAAGGAGCAAATTCTTGATCAAAAAACACAACAACAACAACAATCTTGTGTTAATTTTAGATGGAAAAAGGTATATGGAAATCCAATGTTGAGTTAGTACCAACATGTCCTCGTTGTGGTTCAACAAACACAAAATTTTGTTACTACAACAACTATAGTTTGACACAACCTAGGTATTTTTGCAAAGGTTGTAGAAGGTATTGGACTAAAGGTGGTTCTTTAAGGAATGTTCCAATTGGTGGTGGATGCAGAAAAAGTAGAAGAGGTAAGTCTTCTTCTAGTACAATTCATCAACATGATCTTATTTCAAGAAATTTGGGACATGGGGTTTGTTTAAATCATTCTAATATTGACCATCATAATCAATCCAATAGTAATTCATTGGATCATCATGGGCCAACTATTGATCTTGCTTTAGTCTATTCAAATTTCTTGAATAGTGATAATTTCACTCCATCACAATCGAAGAACCATCAGAATCTTGAATTGTCTGATAATTTATTATTGTCTAATCAAGAAGGAGTACTTGTCGCTCCATCATTTGAGTTTTCAACCATGATAGACATGGAGTTCATGACTAGCAATTTAGGCCAAGAATCACAATTAATTGGCGATGGTGATTGTGATGGTGTTTATTTAAGTGGGATTCATGATGAGAAGCAAAATATAATGAATCGTAGTGATATTCATGATGGTCATTATACAAATATGAATAATGTGAATATTATCAATCATGATCAATTAGGCAACACTTATATGGAGCTACATCCATTGCCTAGTGAAGAGATGATATGGTCTAATTCACATGACCATCATGATCATATGGTATTTCCTAATGATATTCTAAATACAAGTCATAATTCATCAACCGGAGGACTAGAGTTAGAATCAGAGCCAGAACCAGAACCAAAGCCAGAGCCAGAGCCAGAATTAGCAGTACAAGATCCAAGTCATGATCATAGCGCGAATAATGAAAATGATTGGAGCCTTTTCAACTTGTCCAATTTTGGATATATTTTCATGAGGCCTTGATTAGTGAGATCAAAAAGAGGTTTATTGTACTTAATTTTGTTGCAAGTCTTACATTTGATAAATATATATATCTACTATACTAGTGCATGTATGGGAAAAGTGAAAACATTTTTCTCAAGAATAATATAATATATACACGTACTGAATTTGTAATATATATTGGTGAAGGTTGAA